AGTCAGGAGGCCCTGAGTTCAAATCCGGCCTCAGACACTTGACACTTACTAGCTGTGTGACCCTGGGCAAGTCACCTAACCCCACTGCCTAACAGCACCCCCCCCAAGTCTATGACTGGGTCTTCCTATCTTGCCAGGGCTGGAAATACCTTCTCAGGAGCCAGATCCCTGTGCTAAACAGCATGGAAGCTGTGGCCTGACCCACCACTCACGCCCCCCCCCCGCCCCCAGCAGACATCAGTTTCAGCAGCAATCCACCAGCCTGAGTTTCCCCCCAGTGGCAGGGGCTGAAGAATTCTAGTCCAATGGCAATCAAGGAGCGGGGAGAATTCCCCTTCAGTCATTGCCCTCAAGAAAGGGGAAGGTCCTGGGAGAAGGCAACAAGACCGGTGATGCCCTGGGGAGCGAAAGTCCAATCTTTCCCTCCCCACCCCCAAGGTCACATCTCTTCCGCTCTAGAGGGAAGAGCCAAGGAGGTAATGGAGCAGCCTACAACCGGATCCCTCATCCCCAGTCTGCTTCTTGGTACTCCACCCCCACCCCAACAGCTTCAACCCTCTTTGAGCAAAGGATGATGGGATGCCCTTCCCCACAAGCGGAAGAGGGAGCTGAGAGAAGCGCCGCCGCTGCCGCCGTTGCCGCCATGCCACACAGTACTCTCGGGTCTGGCCTTTTCTATTCTCGAAGCTGCATTCCTCTCCACGCCGGATGGCGGCGCTACTCCGTGCTGAGCCAGACGGCGGGCGCGCGCCTTTCCAGATCTTGCATGGCGGCGCACGCCGCCTGGCGGTGGAGCGAAAACAAAGCGCCCGACCGTCATCCCTCCTACACGCATGCTCACACGCGCGTCCACATCCCTCCCGCAGACGGACCGCTTCCCGCCACCCATGAACCTCCGTGCATTATGGGAATTGTAGTTTCTAGGCTGGTTCCATTTTCGGCTTCCCCGTCGTTGCGGACGATCCTGGTGCAGCCCTGGGATGTCCACCCCGAGACTGCTGGAAGCGCCTTTCTCCATCCTGGTTACCCGGTCGCTCTCTCCTCCGCTAAAGCCGCAGAGTAGCTGAAGGCCGACTAGGGCGGGAAGTACCAAGGCCGCGGCGCCGAGAACCGCGAGCGGGGACGGAAGACACGAAGGGCCGAATTTAGTGTCCAAGTCCGGAACACTTCCCATCAGCCAGCGCGGCCCCGAGGTGGTGGAAGGGTGCGCCGCGGGGCTGCTTGGAGGGAGGGTCCCGAGGCGTCCCCCGTCCAGTTCTCAGGATCCTCGTTTGGGGGTTCTGTTCTCCAAGTCGGCCTGGCCTGCGGGGCCTCCCAGCCCCTCATTTCCCAAACTCTAAGTTCCCCAAATGGCAGACTGGAAAAGACAGCTAAGGGAGGCGGGCTGGAAGCCTGGGATTACGAGAGGGAGAGGAAAGCTGTGTGGGGCCGGGGTCTGGGGACATCCCCGTCTTCCAAATTCATCAAGCTCCAAAGATCCCCAGAAAGACCCTTCCCAACTGCCCTATCCCCTATCCAGTTCGAAGAAAATGTCACACAACTAGAACATGATGAAAAAAGTGTTCCATGAGCTCAGGTTTTACTTTTTTATTATGGTTTCCGAGATTCTAAGTAAAAACTTTTCCCCCAGGGGCAGAATTGGCTACAGCCCTCCTCACATTAGTGGTGGCCTGAGGAATCAGGTCTTCCTGGGTCTCCCCAGGCAAAACAACTTCTGCCACTTTTCCTTTAGGACGCATCACCTCTCCTGGCTTCAGGATGGTGAGTCCGGGTGCCGACCAGGGCAAGTGAAGTGACCTGGTTCAACCCTACTTACCCTGTTGCGTGAAAATGAAGTAATAACCTGACATATAAAAGTGGGTTAAGAAGCTCCGCGGAGGAGAGCCTTCCCAAACTGAGTAGGCGGGTGAGATTCTACCCTCCACTGCCATTGTTGCGGCTCTTCTTCCCTTCCCTTCCCTTCCTAAGCATCTGCAAGATGCTGAAAGGTGCAACATTCTAGGCACTGGACTATTCATTTGCAATAAACAATGAAGAGCTAGGAAAACCAGGTGCTCATTTCAGATGAACCCCAGTAAGGGAGCCAAATGGAATTTGGAATACTGTCTTGGAGTTTCCAGCTGAACTGAATGGCTCTAGGGAAATTGTTTCACCTCATCTACCCAGCCGCCGCCGCCGCCACCACCACCACCACCACCACCACCACCACCACCACCACCACCACCACGAGTAAAAACTTAAGCCCTGGAGACATTTCTCTATTCCTCTAGGATAGTCAGGGTAAATCCCACTCAAAACACCACTAAAGCTGTGTAGACTGCCAAAATTGAGCATTTGTGAAGCCCTGATCACAGTTTCATCCCCAATCTATCCCCTTCTTTTCCTTGCCATGCCAGCATGAAAATAAGTACACTTGAATTCTATCCATCACCCAGGAAAAGTGAAGGTGAGTTAGGAAAACATCTTCCAGAAGCACCTCTCCATGTTTTTTGTTTTTTGGTGCTCAGCAGAGGGTTAAGATCATGTTCCAAAAAGTGGTGTCAAATTGGGGGCTAGAAAAGAGGGAGCAAGGCATCTTTAAGATGTCCTATCAAGGAAGAGGATGTGGGGGAAGAACTGATATAATTTCTTAAAAAATTAGTCAAAGGGGCAGCAAGGTGGTGCAGTGGATAGAGCACCGACCCTGAAGTCAGGAGGACCCGAGTCCAAATACGGTTTCAGACCAGATACTTGACACTTAGTAGCTGTGTGACCCTGGGCAAGTCACTTAACCCCAATTGCCTCCAAAAAAAAAATAGAGGCAATGTGTATAAAGTCAGAGTCATAGTTTATAGAGAGCTGGCCTCAAAACCTGAGTTTTAAGATCCATCTCTTATATTTACTAGCTATGTCATCCTGGGAAAATCACTTAAACTCTCAAGGCTTTAGGGTGGTAGTTCTCTAAGGCTATAAAGGATCCAGTCCCTACTCCTCACTGGGGAAAGGGGTGGGGAGGGGAACTCAGGAAGAAGAAAATTTGAGACAAGAGGACGACCAGAAGGGAATACCCCTCTGTCCATACATCTTATTTCACCTGTAATATCATAATGCTAACTTCCAACACACCAGATAAGTGTGTCCATGTGTGCCCAAAGGAGAAAAACTTAATATGGAAAAAATTAAGGTGACATTTATCTTCTTAAAAAGAAGGAACAATTTCATTATTTTGCAGTCAAATATGTTTTCAAAATCCACCAATATGGCCTGTCCAGTGCGGGATGATTAATGCTACTATATTTAGAATGTTATATTTAGCATGATTTAAATCATATGGAAATATCAGTGCCATATCTTAGTATTAAATCTTTTCCTGATACATATACCAGAATTATTTTAAAATTCTCTTTTGCCCTTTGCCACTATGGAGAGGAAATAATTGCCCAAAGGAAAAATGACAGTACCAGACTTAACATAATAATGAAAAGAATAAAAGAGTTGAAAGGGGCCTACAAAGATCATTTTTTCTTTCACCTCCAAGCCTAATCCCAATCTAGATAGGTGTCTCTCTTCAAATGAGTCTAGATAGATCCCTCTTCCTTATTCAAGTGCAATGGCCCAGTCAAGAAGTTCTCCCTGACATCTAGCCCTTAGTTCCTCCAGAGTCACTGCTAAGAAGAACCAACTTTTGCTGTGTCCTTTTAGGAGATGGGAAATAATGGGTCCTTTTTGAATACCCTTTCATAGGACCTCAGAGGCCATCTACCCCACCCCCTCATTTTACAAATGAGAAAATAAGCCCAGGGAGGTTGAGCAACTTGCCCAAGATCACTCAGGGCAGAAGCATCAGAGATAGGACTTGAACCACCTCTGACTCCAGAGCTGGTTGTCTGTCTAGTGTACTGGGCTCAGAAGCTTAAAGACCATGGTGATGCTTCATTTAACCTCATTACCTCAATCTTTTTTCCATTCTCTCTTTACTCCTACATTCTTATCTAACTCTTCTTTCCAACTTCTCTCTATGCCCTGAAATACAGAGCCCCAGCCTGATCTCTGGGAAGAATACCTAACCAATGGAATACTCACTCTTCCATAAAATCAGGAAGATGATGACTTAATGAGGCTCAGACTGCTGACCCAGCCTCAATCCTCTTGACTTCACAAATATGGAAAACTGTTGGAACTGAATGCTTGTTTAAAGCCAAACCTCTCCCAAACTGGGAATTTCTGTTAATTTTAGATGCTCCTCAGCATTTCATGCCTCCAAGAGCAGACATTTATTTCTCTGCTGAGTAGCTAAAATCACCCATTCTTCTTGTCTCCTTGTCTGGGCTATAGTAATTGCACACTGGACAGCTGTAACCTCCTTTATGCTAGCCTTCCAATTTCTGACTCTCCATTCCAAAATATTTTGCTCTCTTGTTCAAAATTTCCCTTGCTTAAGTTACTTGCAGAACTTCCTTCTAGATTAAAAAAAACATACTTCTGACTGTGCCTGGCACATAGTAGGTACTTAATGCTTGCTGGTTGGTTGACTGCTGCCTTCAAAGACCTATGCTAGGGTGATCCATCCTGCTCATCTGGGATGCCCTACACTTTTCTACTTTCATCTCTTGCTGTTCTCTGGCTCATTCCCTACAATCCACATGAATCCAATCTTCTCATGACCTCCCACTTCTTATGTTTTTGAGAATCTGTTCAAGTCCAGCCTATCTGGAAGATGTTCACTCCTCTTCCCTAACACACCCCCTCTTTGATCACATGGAAAATTCTCTGTCATTTATCCCCTATTAATAATAAAATTAACACTTACATAGTACCTTGTTTACTTTCATATCAAATGGTGATCTCCCAAAACTGTGTCTGTTCTGAAATATATACCCCAAATGTCTTGTACGATGATATGTACGTACCCTATGGGCATTCAATAATATACTTAAGGATCACTAAATCTCCTAGAGAAAATCCTCAGAGCCTACACTGTGGGCTTAGAGAGGGAGAAGGGAAAAAAGCATACACAGTGACTAGGTCCCAAAGTTCATTTACTGATTTGAGGTTGGCAAGTCAACAGCAAATTTGGACGTATAGCTGGCAGCATAGAGTCCTTCCCCTCCCCCCCAGGAATCAGCAGAGTCATGGAGGACTGTAGATCTTCTAGGATGGCCATCTGTTGTTGGGCAAGTTTGGTCTGAAGTTGGAGATTGGCGTGCATACACTGAAGCAGACCTAAGCAATCCTGGGGCTTTTTAATGTCGACTCCTGAAGGAAGAGTGGGATGGGGAAGAGGGACAAAAGGGGAGAGAGAGAAATTTTTGACTGCCCCACAAATGATCATCCTGTGGTGAACGGGACTCTGTGGATGAGCACTTTGAACTCCCCTACATTCACAGTGTCTCAGAACGATGGGGAGAGAAGACGGGGCTTCTCGTGCGCTTCAAGAACTCCACCAGAGGGGCACCTCACCTGCTCCAGTGCCTCATAAGTACTGACCATTAGCACTGACAACTTTCCTGTTGTCTAACTTCAGTACTTCCAACAACCCGAGGCATGGCCAGGTCTTCATTACCCTTGGTAATCATATCTACTTTTTCTTGTTGAGGTATTTATATCACGAGTTCCTCAAGAGCAGGGATATCAAGTCTGCTCTGAGTACTTGGACCCAGAGAATACTTTGTAACCTGATTAGGAGAATATGTTTAATCTAAATCCAGAACAACCTTACTTTAATGAGCAGTCTCAACCTCCCCTATTGATGTGAAGGGTTGTGAATTCCTAGGACATCTGACATTCTCTCGTACTGGAAAGAACAATGGACTTGGAGTCAGAAAACCTGGTTTTGGATTCCAGCTCTGTGACGACAGGCAAGTCACTTCATATCTCAGGGCCTCAGTTTCCTCACCTATAAAATAGGGATAATACCTGCACTACCTATCTGACAGAGTTATTGAAAGGAAATTACTTTAAAGATTATAAAGTACTATAGAAATGTAAGTTGTTATTATCTTCTTTTTTTTTAGAATTAATTCCACTTATATCTAGAAAGATTTAAATTTCAACTCTTCTTCTACCCCTAGAGAGGTCCTAACAATTAGGGAAATTACCCAACCTGGGGAAGTGGTAGGGAGGGGGAAGGAAGGAAAAGAAGAGTAAAGACAAGAAGAAGCAATAGCACTGGATAAGCCACAAGCTGTCCATTAAAAACTGAGACTTGAACAGACCCAGGATTGGCAGCCAAGTCAACAGGAGGAAGACTCATGATGAAAAATGCCATCCGCCTCCAGACAGAGAACTGATAGACTCAGAGTACAGATTGAAGCATGTTTTTTTCTCTTTATCTTTTTGAACATGGCTAATGTGGAAATATGTTTTGAAAGATTCCAAATGTGTAATGGTTATTGTATTTCTTGTCTTCTCAATGGTGAGGGAGAGGAGGGAGAGAATAGGGAACTGAAAATAAAATAAAATTGAATGTAATTTTTAAATAAACATTTTCAAAAGAAAAAATGTCAACAGGAAGCCTTGATCCCCAAGTCTGTTCTATTTGGAAAATTCTCTCTATAGGTTACCTGTTTGTAGCTTTGCTGACTGATTGTTTTGACAAGTGGCTGGGTTGGTTGCTGGAAGATGAATGAAACTTGGGGAGGGCTTAGCACGACAAAGAGGCAAAAGTTTGTATTCCTCTTCAACTGGAATAAAATTAGAGACAACTAAATCAGTGTCTTCCAATAAAAACTGAGCATTATAATTAAGACTGTGTGGCAGTGAAAGATTGCTCCAAACCACTAATAATAACAAAAATAAACAATCCTGAAGTTCCACCTCACACACAGCAATTTGGCAAACATGGCAAAATCGGCAGTCAACAAACATTTATTAATCGCCTAATTATGTGCCACACCCTATACTAAGCAAAAGAAAGTCCCTGCACTCAGAGAGTTTGAAGTCTAATGGGACAAGAGGCTGAAAGAAAGAAAAAGTAAAAAACTGAAAAGCAGGGGGAAGAGCAACCAGCATGGGCAAATGATGAAGTCCAGAAGAGTGCTGTTGAGTGAGCCATGAAGAAATGCCTGGTCTGGGCATCCTCCTTAAATGGAAGATCTAGGAAGAATGTTCCAGTCTCCATCTTCTCTGCTCTCTAACCAGAGGGAGGGAGGAATCCCAGGAGCACAGGATACTGAGGAGGTGGGAGTTCCAGGGTGGATATGATCTTGCAGGATGATGAGGTTACTGAGGACAAGATGGTATGAATAGCCAATGTTGGAGTGTTCATAGAAAGACAGGCACACTGATTCATTAATGGTTGGTGGAGCTATGAAGTGATTGATACTAGTGTTCTGGACAATAATGTGGAATTATGCTAAGAAAGTGTTTAACCTTTAACTCAGAAATTCTATTTCTAGAAAAATATTCCAAAGAGCTGAAAGAAAGGTCCCATAGATACCAAAATATTTATGGTAGCACTTTTTATAAAAGTAAAAAACTGGAAATAAACTAGATACCCATTAACTGGGAAAAGGCTAAGAAATGGTGGTACATACATGGAATAGAATATTATTGTACCATAAGAAATGATGAATATGAGGAATATAGAGAAGCATGGGAAGATTTAGATGAACTAATGCAAATGAAATAAGCAGAATCAGGAAGGCAATATACACAGTGACATCAACAATGTAAATGGAATCAACAGAAAAAACTAACAAAACCAAATCCTATATAATTAGCAATACTAAGTCTGAAACAGAAGTGATGAGAAAATGTATTTTCCTCCCTTCTCTGCAAAGGTAGGGGACTCAAGGAGCAGAACGCCAAAAATACCATCAGATTAAGATGATATGTTGGTTAGTTTTACCAAAATGCCCTCCTCCCCTTATTCTTTGGTAAACAGAATGGCTCTCTTCAGAAGAAATCGAGAGGAGATATTTATGGAAATGAAGGTGACATAAAAGCAAAAGATACCAATTTTTTTTTAAAGACTGTGTGATGGTATCTTAAAGAAAGCACCAACCCTTGGCCTCAAACACCCTCCCTCAAGAGTCATTACAATAAGCAGAAACAAAAAAAATCAGAGTTGGCGAAATGGAAATCAGACCTAAAATTTTATTTAGTCAGCCAACAAACATTTATTAAGTGCTACTATTTGCTAGGCACTATGCTAAGTGGTAGATATACAAATAAGAAAAAGGTCATCCCTGCCTTCAAGGAGCTTACAATCCAAGGGGAGAAGATACACAAAAGAAAACTAAAAGGAGGGGGAAAATGTCTGGTGTGGGGCATGAAGGAGAAGTTTAAATGAGTGCACCTGGGTGGGAAATGAAGAGATGGCTGGCCAGGGTACCTCCTGAAATGGAGATTTGGGGAGAAGCTCTTCACTCTGCCCTCTAATCAGAGGGACCGAGGTACTTATAAGGTGTGAGTACCAAGGCTGAAGGATCTTGTCAAATGATGATGTTCCTGGGGGATGATGGGAAAGTCCAAAGGAGGGAAATAAAGAGATGGCTGGCCTGGACACCATCTTAACAGGAATTTATCAAACACCTAATTTGTTTTGTTTTTGTTTTTTCATTATTTTCCCAACTGACAAGCATTTTTTTCTTCTCCTTTAAGAAGCCTTTGTAACAAATATGCATAGTCAAGCAAAACAAATTCCCACTTTGGCCATGTCCAAAAATGTCAAATACCTCATCTGAACCAAATGAGGCAGTATAATGTATTGAGAATTCTGGTCGTGAGTCAGAAATTCCTAGGTTCTAATCCTGCCTCTGATATATACATGCTTCTCTAGGTAACCGCATTTGAACTCAGAGTAAATTATTTAACTTCTCTAAGCCTGTTTCCTCATCTGTATAATGGCAAAAATAATATCTTAGGACCTACTTCAAAGGGAGGTTTGCCATGAAGATTCAATAAGACATTGTCAGAAAGCACTGGGCCTTCCTTAAAGTGCTATATAAATTCAGAAATCACTGTTGTGATGAAGCAGTACTGTTCTTGGCACCATAAAGGACACAAAATGCAGTACTGGCCCCCAAGAAGCCTACAAACTAGTGGAGAAGAGAAGATATTCACATATGAAATATATGTAGGCAAGATTCTACATGTTATGATTCTAAAATCAGAGAGATGTCAAACAGGCAACAGATGCTGCCCCATAGGAACCAGATTAAAATTAATTAGGAAATATCTAACAAAACAAATAAAAATATAACATAACATAGACAACATTAATGTATGGTTTTCTAAATCAATACGTGAGCTCTAGGGAGGTTTAGTGGTCCCTATTTCTGTCTGAGTTTGATACCACTGCTCTAAAGGACTGAGACCATCTTATGTAGCTAATGGAGAAAGAATCATTATTTGATTCATAAAGTGCAAACATGAGCATTTCAGATAATAAGTATTATAGGAATTAAGCCTTCAATGATCACGCTTTCCTCTGCAGCAGTCATGAATGGCTCCATGGAAGAGGTTAGAGGTGGACTGGCCCTTGAAGAATGAACAAGACAAGAATCAGGCCTACATTCCTGGTTGGGAGAAGTGGTACAAGCAAAGGCATAGGAACAGAACTGTTCTTAGGGCATTAAAGAAATAGCAAGAAAAGAGACCTTAGATGAAGTAGGGAGGAGATTGATAGATAAGATTAGAAGTCAGAGTCCAGCCAGCCTTGAAATCTAGTATAAAATAAGCTCAAGGGATAATAGGATCTAGACTGTAAGGTGCCTTCAATTTAATTTAGTCTAATCCCTTCATTTTACAGATGAAGAAACTAAAGTCCAGCAAGTATAAGTCAATTAACTGACCAAGGTCACAGTTATTAAATGGCAGTGGGGGGTTTTTTCCCACTAAACTATGATACTTGTTCTAAATATAGACTTGTATCCTAAAGCAGCAGAGACAATGAAAATTTTTAAACAAAAAAACTATAAAACTGTGCATACCTTTGACCTAGCAGTCCCACTACTAAATCTGTATCCCAAAAAGATTTTTAAAATGTCCATAGTTAGAAGGCAGGAAGAGGAGGAAGAGCCATCAAAGGTGACAAAGAAGTGCTAGAAGAGGAAAGAGAACCAAACTAGCATAAACACATGAGAGGAAAAACATAGAGGAGAAGGTAATCAACAAGATCATGTCACAGAGAAGTCAAGAAGGGGAATTTTAAAAGTCACTAAATTTAACAACTCTGTTGACCTCAGTTTCCTCATCTGTAAAATGAGCTGGAGAAGGAAATAGCAAACCACTCTAGTATCTTTGCCAAATGGGGATACAAAAGAATCAGAAACAACTAAAAATAACTAAACAACAACTTTAAAAATTTAACAAAAAAATTATTGAAACATTCTATAACCTTCAAGAACACAGGTTCAAGTAAAGTGGTGGAGATGAAAGCCAGACTGTAGGAGTTTGGAGAATTTAAGCAAAGGTAATAACTTAATGGTATTATAATAATTTTTATGAATGAATTTTTTATAGACCTGTGATTTCATCAGCATGCAGAACTCCCAATGTGGAAACTCCCAACTATTACTGGAAACTTAGAGTCTTAGGGAGTTTCCTGGGATACTAAAGAGTAAAGGAACTTGTCTATGGTCATAAAGCTGGTTTATATCCAAAAGCAGGGCTTGAATTCAGCTCTTCCTGACTTCAAGGCCAGACCTCTACCTACTACCTGCTGGGTATAGACCACTTGTTCAATAAATTTGGTAGAGAAAGAAATGGCCAAAATAGGATTATTGTTAAAGGGAAAATACTAGGGTCATGGAATCTATTGGTAGGAACTTCAAAGCCTATCCCATATGTGAACAGGAATCCCTCCTACAACATCCCTAACAAGCAATCATCCAGTCTTCACTTGAATACTTCCAGTGATAGGGAGCCCATCTGTCTTAGGCTCTCTTCTCTTCTTCCTCTATACTCTCTCTCAGTAACCTCTTCAGCACTCATGGATTGTACTATCTAGCTAGACATCTCAAACTCAATATTGTCCAAAATTGAACTCGTTATCTTTCCCCTCAAAAACCCTCCCCTCTTTCAAACGTGCCTATTTCTGTCAAAGGCAACACCATTCTTCCAGGTTCATAAACTTGGTATTATCTCAACCTCTCAGTCCCCCCTTACCTCACGTTCCCAATCAATTGCCATATCTTGCTATTTCTATCTCCACAATATCTCTTGTATTCCACCACTCATCTCCACTCAGACAACTACCATCTTAGTTTAGTTCTTCAGATATCTGAAGTTATCTGTCACAATTTCCCCTCATCCAAGTCTTAACCTTCCCCAATTAAATTAAACATCTTCTACTTCATATGAGCCTCCTATGCCAGAGTTTCCAATCTCCTCACCATCCTAGTACTAATTTATCACTGTTCTTGTTAAAATGTGGTATATAAATGTGAACAAAATACAAGTGATTTCACCAAGTAATGACAATTTCATCCTCCGAAAAAGGAGAGACAGGGCCAAGGGGGAACTGCTAATCTGATCAGTAAGAGGGCACGGTTGCAGAAGCAAAAACAATGGGAGTCTAGAGGGCAGTGATCACTCCATCATAGAATTAATTATAGGAAAGGAAAGAAAACCTGGCTATACTCTGACATAACCCCTAAATTTAGGGAGGAACAAATTTCATAAAGCTTAGAAAAAGAAGTGATCTGATGATCTCTTATATAAGGGATCCCCATATTTG